GAAAAGGGATAGGGCAAAGACTTCGGAGGAGACAAGACACCAGCTTGAAATATTGCAAGAAGAGAATCAAAAGTTATCAAAGATAATAGATTTTTACTCTAAGGACATGCAAGAGTTGCTGGAGGCCTTGGATCGACGGGGTAAACATGCACGAGGAGATTCAAGTTTTGCTAAACCTAAGAAAGTGATTTTCGAAAGCTCAAGTGATAAGCCCCAAGAAGCGATGCGAGAAAACCCAAGAGAGAGATCAAGAAGGGCCAAACTAAAGTCTCCTATTGTGGAATTAGGAAGCGTGCCATGATGTTTTTTTTAATAATTTTTTTAAAATTCATGTAGTCCCTTTTTTTTTTTTTTTTTTTAATGTGAAACAAATATTTTTTTTCCTTTTAATTTTAACGACACAAATTAATGCGCTAATCATGTCACATCTCGGAATCGGCTCCGCCGTAGCACGATATTGTCCGCTTTGGGCCTTTGCCCTCACGGTTTTGTTTTTGGGAACTCACGAGCAACTTCCCAGTAGATCACCCATCCTGGGATTGCTCTAGCCCCAAACTCACTTAACTTCGGATTTCCCATGACTCTGAAGTCAATGAGCTCCCAAAAGGCCTTGTGCTAGATGGAGGCGGGAATGTACATATAAGACACATCACCCCCTCTCCGTTGGTCGATATGGGATGTTACAATCCACCCCCTTAGGGGCTCAACGTCCTTGTCTGCATACTCGCACCACACGACAGAGTGGCTCTGATACCAAATTGTCACATTCTAGAATCGGCTCCGCCGTAGCACGATATTGTCCGCTTTGGGCCTCCGCCCTCACGATTTTGTTACTGGGAGCTCACGAACAACTTCCCAGTGGGTCATCCATCCTGGGATTGCTTTAGCCCCCAGCTCGCTTAACTTCGGAGTTCCCATGACTCCGAAATCTCCCACATCGACCAACGGAGAGGGGGAGATGTGCCTTATATGTATATGTCCGCCTCCATCTAGCATGAGGTATTTTGGGAGCTCACTAACTTCGGAGTCATGGGAACTCCGAAGTTAAGAGAGTTGGGGTTTAGAGCAATCCTAAGATGGGTGATCCATTAGGAAGTTGCTCGTGAGCTCCCAGAAACAAAACCGTGAGGGCGATGGCCCAAAACGGACAATATTGTGCTACTGCGGAGCCGATCCCGGGATGTGATAAATCATTCAACTATAAATACCCGCAAGTGTACGAATCTATTGGATTAACTAGGTAATCTATTTAATAACCTATTTCAGACAACCCAAACCCGACACGACACGTTTATTAAATGGGTCTGGTTTGGGTTGAGCATTCTTAACACGTTTATTATCCTGACATGACCCATTGTCACGCCTAGTTGTGTGCCTTCCCCTTCACCCTCCTTGGCACCCAGAATCGAAACCCTAAGGTTTTTTTTTTTGGACGATGAAACCCTAGGGTTTCTTTCCTCAAAATTATAACCCCAAAAAAACAAAAAATACTTCATTAACAACATTTATTTGTTATCATACTAAACTCAGTAATTACCAATAAATACTTCATGAGTTTATTATGGGACATTTTGGAAAAAGCAAAAGGGGAGAGAAAAATTTTAAAAGAAGCAAAAATGGACAAAAATACCCTTATTTATTTTTAGATTTCCTAAGGAATCTAATACATTTGCATGTCTTTGATTTGAAAGTTGAGTGGTTTTTTTGTCTTTTTTGAAAAAGCTTTGGCTTTTTCTAAAAGTGAAATTTTTTTTATGTCTAAAACCTAAAAAACCTGTTTATTTTATTATTTATTATATGGTCAAGCTCTCAGGAGGTAAAAATTCATTACTAGACCGAAACAAATAATACCAAAATGAAGACGTGGGGGCAGCATTCAGAAGCTTTGAGGACAAAGTCCATTGAATTTGAATCCCAACTTCTCTCTCTTACTCTGTAGCTCTCGAATCACATGTGCATATTTACATTTCTCATTTGCCCAAAACATAACCCCAAAGATTTATGCTTTTTAATGTTGTAAACGGGAAACAACTCAGATACAATCCTGTGGTGCTTGTTCAGTCTCGCCCAGCTGTACAATCATATCCCCTTTCTTTCCATTTTAGCGATCACCTCTACATAAACTGAAGAGCATCATCAGAAACAAAAGCACGGATTAAGCAGAGTGCGAGTGAAAATTCAAAGCCTTTTTTTTTTATCCCTACAAGCATTCTATCATGTCATAATCAGTATTATTCAGAAAAGTCTCTTCCTTTTGGAACCCAGAAAGGAAGAGTGAAGTGAGGAAGTGAAAAGCTCTGTTTGCTCTCAGATCTCTGCGTCTTGTTGGGTCATTTGATTTTGAGCTTCAATGGCAGAGTCAAAGAAGTATATTTCACAGGAAGACCTTAGCAAGCACAACAGGCCAGGAGATCTATGGATCTCAATACAGGGGAAGATCTACGATGTCTCAGATTGGGCTAATTACCATCCAGGTGGTGAGCTCCCATTGCTCAATCTCGCTGGTCAAGATGTCACAGACGCGTTTGTTGCGTACCATCCAGGCTCGGCATGGCAGCATCTGGACCAGTTCTTCACTGGGTCTTATCTCGAAGGCTACTCTGTCTCGGAGGTATCCAAAGATTATAGGAAACTTGTCAATGAATTCACTAAAATGGGTTTGTTTGAAAACAGGGGACTTGGGGTTCATTTTTCGCTGTTTCTTGTGGCCATGTTGTTTAGCTTGAGTGTTTATGGTGTTTTGTACTCTGATAGCACTTGGGTGCATCTGGGTTCTGGTGGGTTAATGGGTTTTCTTTGGATTCAAAGTGGCTGGCATGGACATGACTCTGGGCACTACCAGATCATCAGCAGCAAAAGACTCAATAGGTTTGCTCAGATCCTCACTGGGAATTGCCTTGCTGGCATCAGCATTGCCTGGTGGAAGCGCAACCACAATGCCCACCACATTGCATGCAACAGCCTTGAATTCGATCCAGATCTTCAGCACATGCCTTTCTTTGCGGTATCTTCGAAATTATTCAATTCCCTCACGTCTTATTTCTATGACAGGAAGATGAATTTTGATGCTTTTACAAGGACCTTGGTTAGTTACCAGCACTGGACATTTTACCCTGTGATGTGTCTTGCTAGGCTTAATCTTTTTGCTCAATCATTCTTGCTGTTATCATCTAAAAGATTAAGGGTGAACAATAGGGTTCAGGAAATCTTGGGGCTCCTTGTGTTTTGGATTTGGTATCCTTTGCTGGTTTCCTGCTTACCCAATTGGGGTGAAAGAGTTATGTTTGTTGTTACAAGTTTTTCTGTCACTGGAATTCAGCATGTTCAGTTCTGTTTGAACCATTTTTCTTCCAGTGTTTATGTTGGTACACCTATTGGGAATGACTGGTGTGAGAATCAGACTAATGGGTCACTTGATATAGAGTGTCCATCTTGGATGGATTGGTTCCATGGTGGGTTGCAATTTCAGATTGAGCATCATCTGTTTCCCAGGTTGCCTAGAGGCAATCTCAGGAAAGTTGCTCCTCTTGTTAAGGAGCTATGCAAGGAGCACAAGCTGCCTTACAAAAGTGTATCCTTCTTGAAGGCCAACGAACTGACCATTGGAACGCTTCGCACTGCAGCCCTGCAGGCTCGGGATCTTGCTAGCCCGGTTCCAAAGAACTTAGTTTGGGAAGCTGTACACACTTATGGATGAGATACACAGCTTGTGAAGCTTTAGCTTTATGAGGTTTTGATGGTGTGGTTTTTTATGCTCAATGACAATAATGTTGTTAAGGGAGTAAAATAACTTATTTTTGATTGATATCTGAAGGGTGGTGATCCTTGATTTCAGTTGGAACAATAATAATCATCTTTAGGACTGCATCTGAGGCTTCATTTCAGATTCTGGTTTTTACAAATATTTATGCAAATTTTGCAGGATCATCATCAGCTCATGTATTTTCTGGAGTAGGTGACAAGCTATATATACTGATTATCCGTCCGGTGATATTACTGCTTCTCCTCTCCTGTATTGGTGCTCAAAATCACTGCTAGAGACTTTGAGATGTAAAGCATTGTGTGCTTTGATTAGTTAGTAAGTTAGTTTCTGATAGCGTAGTATATCTTGTGGCGCTTTGGTTCTCTCTCTCTCTCTCTCTCTCTCTCTCTCTCTATATATATATATATATATAACTATTCGTTTTTGTGATTGGAATTTCTTACTGGAACGTTTGATGGTATTGGTTTTGATTCAATTCCAAAATTAAGTTTGAACTTAGATGTTGGCATATAGTTAATTCTTGGAATTGCAATTCCTACTCTGCCATGTCTCATTTTCTTCACTGTATTATCTTCACCGTGTACTAGCTCTCTAATAGAGGTAGAATCGCCACTATTAGAGATGCGGTATACAATAATGTGATATTCCTAGAATCTTTCTTTGTGATATTGTAATGTTAAGAGTAAACCAAGTCACACTGCCATATCAACCCATATGCAATAAATCCAATTACCATGAGAAACATTGAAATGGGAACTTAGAAGCTCAACTCAAGAAAGTCTTATCATAATGTATAATTCAAGCCCAGTTATCCTGCAACAAGATCATTTGCTTTGATTTCCGCCTCTCTCAAACTGCATGCATAAAGAAAATAGAATTTAAACCAAAGCAATTGACTCATGATCGTAAAGAATCTAAAGATCTTCTTTTTATTTTTATTTTTTGGTCGGATAAACCACCTAAAATTCAAGAATTTAACTTTCATTTCCAACAAAAAGATAGTAATTCAATTTTCAAAATTTAAAATGGCGCAACCACGTAGACTATAACCAACACAGCACGTCCCTGATTTCTCTCTCAACACAAACAAACCCTATCTCGACTGAAATTTCTCTACCTTCCTCAAAATTCTCCGATCACTTCTCACCTTCCCTTTCCGGGTTTCCCCCCCAAACCGACAAAAAAGGCTTAAAAATCCCACCCAAAAATGAAGCACCAAACTTGTGCCGCTTGTAGATTCCAGCGCAAGAAATGTACCCAAGACTGCCTCATGGCCCCATATTTCCCTGCAACCAGGTTTCAACAATTTCTGAATGCACACAAACTGTTTGGTGTTGGCAAAATCACCAAAACCCTCAACAGCGTCTCTCCTCAGCAGAGAAGCTCTGCCATGTACAGCGTCAAAGCCGAAGCCGAGTACCGTGCCAGGGACCCTGTTGGTGGCTGCTACAATGAAATAAAGTCGTTGCTGTGGAAGATCAGAACAACCGAGGATGAACTCCAACATGTGCATTCTCAGCTTTGCATGTTTCGTGCCGGAGGAGAGAATGCTATGGCTCATCCTTTGGAAGGCTATGAATACAATGTCGTTCAAGATGTTGAATATGATTCGCAGCTTCATCATCAACTACAGCAGAACATTGTTCAAGAACAGAGCGGTGTTGTGGAAAATCATCAAGAACAGAGCAATGTGTTTGATTTAAGGTCTGACTGAATGTTTGAAACAAATTTCTCAACTTCAGTAGGAAAAGAAAATTCCCACTTGATAATTTGTTCATTATCACTAAAGAGAAAGTTGCCCATTCAATCTCCATGTATAAAGTTTGTAGCTTTCACTTTTTTTTAATGTTAACCCCAATTTATTTATTCAGGGATGAAGTTGTGCTAGAACAAGATGTCAATCCAATTCAGGTTGAGGGTCCAGTAATTCACAACAGTACTTCTCAGTTACAAAGTGGTAAAAGATGATTGTTGATTTTGCTGTACTAGTTCAGTATCTCAGTTAAATCTCATGGAGCTCTGTTTTCTGTACATCAGATAGAGTAGAAGGTAAAAGGAAAATGAAATGTAGACGTTCCAAACACCCTTTTCCTTGACAGATAGTTTGATCTGTATAGAACTATATCAGGAAGACACAATATCTCTCTCTCTCTCTCTCTCTCTTTTGTTTTGGTTCTCTAAAAGCGATCACCACATTGCATACAAGTTGATTAGATGGCTAAGTAAAAGGTGGCAACAGAAAACATTTCTGGCCTGTTTGACAACAGAAAAACATCTTTTTCAAACATGTCCATTGTCATAATGTTTGCTCTTTATTACTTTCATTTTCCTCACCATGGATTAGGTTGCTTCAGTAATCAGTATTTAATTCCAAGATGGCATTATGGCAGTGACTCTAAACTTCTAAAGGAGCTGACCTCTTAAGCCCATCGGGCCACCACCATGCCCTGGCCCCGAATTAATTTATAACCAATGCAGCTGAACAAAAGCAAGCAGACTGAATCAAATGAAGGTCATACATTTAAGATATTTAAAACAATCAAGTCTCTTTATTTATTGAAGATTCTCACAAACAATGGCTGCAAGAAGAGTACAAAACATCTTCAGTATGCATTAATTCATGCATAATGAAGTTTGCCCTAATAACATAATGCTGTCGTCTGAGAATGAAATGATCCTCAGGGAGTGCTTTCTGAATGGGAAGGTGAAGAATCAGAAGTAAGGTCATCTAAAATAGACTTTACCCCATCTTCTCTAACACCCTTTTGCCTAATGTCCTCAATCATCCGATGCACCATGCCCATTGTTGGACGATCTTTAGGCAATGGAGACACACACAGCAAACCCACCTGCAAAAGAGCCCACATTTCCTCCTCCATTTCTTTGTCTCCCAGAAGCTCAAAATCCAGCACTTCCCATGTACTGCACTCTTTCTGCACCACCATCCTAACCCACTCCACCAAGCTCATCTCTCCTTCTTCACCAGCCGTTTTTCCAGTCAAAATCTCCATCAGAACCACCCCAAAGCTATAAACATCACACTTTTGTGTAAACTTTCTTGGGCTTTTACTGCTGGGAAGCATCAATTCAGGGGCTTTGTAAGCGCTGTTTGATGAAAATGGAGCAGGCAAGAGCTGCTGGAGGCCAATGTCTGCAATGCAAGCGCTGCCCATCTGATCCACCAAGATGTTTGATGATGTGAGGTTTCCATGAAAGAGCTTGGCCTTGTTGCAGCCATGGAGGAAAGCCAGTCCTTGCGCAGACCCAGAAGCTAATTTCAACCTTGTAGCCCAATCCAATGGTGTTCTTCCAGGTCCTCTGTTTCCATGCAACACAAAATGCAAGCTTCCTTTGGGCATGAAATCGTAGACCAAAAGCAACTCATAGTTGGAATTGTGGTACGCTCGAAGGCTCACAATGTTACAGTGCCTCAGCCCACCAATCTGTCTCAAAAACCCATCCATTTCTTTCCCGCCATTTCTCTTCTCCCTCACTCTCTTCACCACAATTACATCTCCACCGTCCATCGCAACCTTGAAAGTGGTCCCCACGCTGCCCTTTCCCAACATCTCCGCCGACGCCTTCAACAGATCACCCACCTTATCGACGCCCCTGCATCCTTCCAGCACCACCATATCTTCGCTTTCTCTGGGCCCACCACCAGGCCCGTGCCAATTAGACTGGGCCAAATGGGCTCCACCTTTGCTCTTCTTCTTCTTCAATTCTCCGGGCCCGTAGTGCTTGCTCACGTAACCGAATCCGTTGGCTGTCTTGTTGCGGGTCCCGCCCTCCACTCTCTTAGTGCGCCGACACCACGTGGCGGTCACGACTATCACTAACAACACAACAGCTATGCCGACGATGATGATCGTGAGCTGCGCAGCGTTACTCAAAACGCTGTCGTTTTTCCGACCCAAGTCCCTGGATGGTACGGACGAGTCAGGGACCGTCCGATTGGAGCATTCGTACGGCAAGGGTTTGCCGCAGAGATTCCCGTTTCCGGCGAACGACGTCGCCGTGAATTTAGACAGCCACGCAGGGATTTCGCCCGAGAGATTGTTGTGCGAAACATTGAAGTCCGAAATCGTACCGGTATCCAAGTCCGCTGAGCCGAGAGTCCCGGTGAACGAGTTGGACTCGAGACGGAGAGTTAGCAGGCGAGGCAGCTGAGTCAACTTGGTCAACGGAATGTCGCCGGAGAACTGATTATACGAGAGGTCGAGTCGACGGAGATTGCGGAGGCGGGAGATTCCTGAGGGGAAGGTTCCGGCGAAGTGGTTGTGGGAGAGGTAGAGGTGGTTGAGGTGGGGCAAAGACGAGAAGTCGAGCGAGGTGGAGAGCAGGTTGTGGTTGAGGCTCAGGACTTTCAGGTGGTCGAGCTGGCTGAGTTGCTCAGCCGCCCCGGTCAGGTTGAGGTTCTCAAGCACGAGTCGGGTGACCCGGCGGGTCTCCGGGTCGCAGGTGACGCCGAGCCAGGAGCCGGAGCACGGGTCGGGTGAGGTCATCCACGAGGAGAGCGAATTGAAGGGGTCGGTGGAGGCTTTGAATGCCAGCAAGGCGGTGGTTTCTGGGTTAGAGAGAGAAAGAAAGAAGAATAATTGGAAGAGTGAGAAAAAGAAGGCAGAGAGAAGATGAAAATTCTTCTGCTTCGGCGACATGTTTGTTTTCCGTCTGATTCTCGAGAAAGTTGCGGAAAAAAAGAAAATGAAGGGGAAGGGAACGGAAAAAGAAGGCCAGATAAGATTGTTAATTACCGTCAGTAACTAGCCGTTAAGAGACGTTGGGTTAAACGACAATTGGTTGTAGCCATTGGCGTGGGCGAGTGGCTAAATCTGTGTAAATTTGGTTGTGGGTGGGGGATTTTGGTTGAGAAGAGAACGGTGTCGACAAAACGTTTTTAGGAGGAAGACAGAGAGTGGTTTTGGTGGTATTAGCTTTAGCTAGCGAGGGTGCTGCTGGCAGTGAGTGTTGAAAGCGACGACGACGTTTCTTGGTTGCAATTAATGGCGCAAACGCGTTTCTTAATTTGTCTACTTATTACTGGTATGATGAGGAGTAGGAGTAGGAGTAGGGTAGTGTCTTTTTCAATTTTAGTAATGAATTTTGTTGATTAAGTAAGAATATTATGAGTATTATGTTATCATATCCAAGGAAGGATGTGTCATACTTTGGTAATACAATTAATTAAGAAAAATATAATGTGGGTTAAGTCAGTTGGCCGAGACAGTGTGTACATCCATCTGAATTTCAACTTCCTTCCCTTCTTGTACATCATTAAGATGTGTATTTTTAAAAATGCATAATGATGGGAGTTCGGACCTGCCAATTCCTAATGCCCAAGGGATCCGATCCAGCCCAATTTGACGTTTGATTTTGTACTAGGCCAAGCAAAGAATTGTCAAATTTTTACTTAGTTATAGAATTTAATGGGTTGGCACCTTTTAAGGCATCCCAATTACAAGGTAATCTCAGGAACATGAATTTGAATGGGTTGGCACTTCGGCCGGTCGGGGCCGATTCTAACCCTTTTTGGTCAGGCCCACGGTGATTGCGCAATCCTTTACTAATATTTTTTTATAACTAAATTACTTTGCTAATCAAGATTACCAAAATGTAAATGCAGGCAGACCAATTATTACTATCAATAGTTAGTGCAAAAGAAGAAGAAGAAGGGAAAATAAGGAAGGAATAAAGAGGAAATAGTGTGAACGAAGCAATGGAATTAAATCTGAATTTCCATTGTTTTGGTGGCAATCCCATGAAATCTGAATAAGACTTTTCCCAATTCTCACTCTCTCTTTGTGCGTAGAAAAGAAAAGGAGAGGAGCTTGCCCAAAGCTTCTGACTAAAATTCCAACTGCCCCCCTGCTGTGAACCAACCCAGACCAACAACACCACAGGAAGCCACGTGCACCCGAATTTAATCCATCTATCATCGCCACTATCACCATCATGCCTTCCACTTAGAAAAATCCCACTAAGTGTACCAACATTTTATCATTAGTTTTTTAGTCTATGGTCCCTTTAAATCAATTCAATTGAGAGAGCTTTATTTATTATGATCAACATTTTGCTTCCCTTATTACATGTTCATTTTTTTGGAGGGAGAAGATGAATGCAGCACATATCTCTATCTTTTCGGCCCCAAGTATATAGGGTATGACTTTGACGAGAAATACTTCCCTATCCTCGTTGTATTACTCTCTTATTTTTTCTATCACTCTCCTCTTTCATCAGTTGTATGCGAGTAGAAACAGGAAGAATAGGACAATGAAACTGGGATGATGTAATGTGAGTGCCTTAGATTTCTAGTATACTATAGTATTACTAACAAGTGGGAGTGGCACGAGTAAATCAATGCAAAGGGACACAAGGGCTTTAATTTTAAATACCGTGGACCAGCAAAACTCACACTTATCAAGTGAAAGACTGAAAGAGATCAGAGAGAGCAGCTACATTGGTCGTCGTCACTGTGTGTGATTCTGTGTAAAACTCATCGTAATTGATAACGAGGACACAAAATTCACAACCCCTTTTTCTATTGGATCGGTAGAGCTCAGAGCTCTGTATTTTTCTCCTTGTTTTTCATTTCCCAAATAGTTAGTGTAAGTTTTACCCCTACAATACAAACATCTTTCTGGGTATTTTGTTCAACATGGTTTCTTTCTATTGGAATCTGGAAAATCTGGAACCAAAACGCCATACTTAAAAGAGCAAAGTAAAACCAGCTTGCATTTTCTGCTCTGTTTTTACAACTATCATGCTCTGTTTTTACAACTATCAGATTCATACTCGAAAAGGCAAAACGAAACAGCCTGTATTTTTCTTGAATGCAATTAACCATTTGAGCCCAATTAGACATTGCAGTGATCCTCTGCTCCTGGCCTTCTCTGAAAATTCTGCGGTGTGACTTGCTACACAATTTGAAGCTTTGAAGGCAAATTACACAGAAAAATAATAAGAAGGTAGAAGAAAGAGAGAGTATTATCAGAATGCATTGCCATAAAATAATCAAATTCACTTCACTTACATCACCAAAGTATCAAGGAAGAAGAAGAAAGAAAAAAAGAAAAGAGGAATTCTAATTTGAACCTACTCCCAACTTGTATCAACTTGAATTTTTCTTGTAACACCAATTTCATGATCTTTTAATCCTCCTCAAAAGTTTACAAAGCCCCCCCTCGAAAAACCCATTATATGAAAGAAAGAAAAAATTGCATTGAAGTAATGAAAACAATTAATTAAAAGGTCCATTTCCAGATCTTGATCCGAAGATCAACCTTGCACTTGGTGTTAGCAACCGAAGCCACCGACGGGGACTTGCCTTTAGGTACAGCCCCTTTAATACCTTCACACGTAACCCTAATGCCCACCTTCTTGCTCTTCAACTTCCCCATCGCCACCTTCACTTCGGTGTCCATCTGCAACTTCAACGCCACCCCGGTCTTCTTCCTCAGATCCGATCTCAGAGACTTCACCGACTCGACGTCGAGATCCTGAGAGGTCGACAAAATGGAGCGAAAAAAGGTGCTGTTTTTGGTGCCGCTGGTGAAAGCCGGGATCGACCCGTTTCCGATTTGGACGTCGCTGGACGAGAGAGACAGAGCAAAGGGCTCGTAGGAGAAGGTGAGGTGGTTGTTAGGGTTTTTGGAGGAGAGGGTGAGATTGAAGAGGGTAGTGAGGTGTGAAGTGGATAAGTCGGAGGAGGTGGTGAGGTTGAGCTTGGCAATGCGGACGGAGGTGAGTGTGAATTCAGGGCGGTGAGGACGGTAGAGGATGTAGACCGCGGCGCCGGCTATGGCGGCGAGGAGGGCGAGGGCTAAGATGATGAGGATGGACCAGAAGCAGCAGCAGCAGAAGTTGCAGTGGCAGTTGCTCCTGCGGTGCCGGCGGTGGGGGGGCTGGGGGTGTGGGCTGGGTGGGTGCCGGGGGGG